CCTTATTTTGACCCAAGCCCTCCTTTCCCTGCCCCCACCCCCCATAGAGTGTCTCTGGTTCATAGTTGTTTGTCGATTTTGATTTTCACTTTCTTATAGTTATTCATTTTCCTGGTCCCTTACTTAAGTTTTCTAGATTCCTGCTATGAGTGAGACCATCTGGTATTTTTCTTTTTCTTTCTGGCTTATTTCGCTGAGCATGATCCCTTCCAGCTCCATTCATGTTGCTGCAAATTGCATGTGTTTATCTTTTTTGAATGCTGAGTAATATTCCATGTGTATATGTACCACATCTTCTTGATCCAGTCATCTATTTTTGGGCATTTGGGTTGTTTCCAAAGCTTATCTATTGTAAATAGTGCTGCTATAAACACAGGGGTGCAGGTGCCCTTTGGAATTGATGTTTCTGTGTCCTTTGGGTAAATACCTAGGAGTGGAATTGTTGGATCCTATGGAAGCTCTATGTTTAGTAGGTCAAGAAATCTCCACACAGCTCTCCATAGTGGTTGGACCAGTTTGCACTCCCACCAACAGTGCAGGAGAGTTCCTTTTTCTCCACAACCTCGCCAACATTTGTTGTTGCTAGTTTTTTTAATATGTGCCATTCTCACTGGCCCACACCTATTTTAACAGTCATTCATTTTACGAACATTTGCTGACCACTGATTACGTGTTGGTAGAGCATCCACATGGGATTATGAACTGGCTTGCTGAGTCAGCAGGGTGTGGACGGCATCCAGGTGGGGGATGGTATAGTGCAGGATGTCAGATCCCAAACAGGGTAAGGTGGGGGTATACACAGGGCAGTTCAGCACAAATTGTTACCCTGGAGTCTACACATAGGAGGGAAAGTGTAATTTGGTATGGGATGTCAGGGCCTTAGCAGAAAAGAAATGTGTCCAATGGAGGGGGTTGGCAGTGGGACCCCAAGCAGGGTGAGAGCATGTCCACATAGAAGAGGAGGTATGAGCAGAGTAGCAGATCCTTGTGAAATGAAGAGATCATCTAGGAGTGTCTCAATAATGCTGGGTCTTCCCCGTGTGTACAGGAGGTGTGCATGTTATTGCAAAATTTCTATATGGCTTTTTCTCATCAGAAAAAAAAAAAAAGAGGTCATCTGTTTGGGTGCGAGACGGGCAATAGGCAACTGCTTACTTAAGAACTGACAAGTAGGTAAATCTGGTAAGGAGAGTTGGAGCCAGATTTCTCATTAAAGAAGGAAAAAATAATAGTCCTGTGAAGTTGGATTAGAACTAAAATTTACTGGTATGAATTCATGGTTTTCAAAATACATAATTACATAGCTGTAAATTGTATATTTGATAGCTGAATAGTTGCATGTTCCCTAGCTCTGTCCAGAGAGAGTACATGGGAGCAGCAGTCCAGTAACAGTGAGTACATGTGTACCCAGATCTTTACTCTAAATATCATCAGGCTTCATCAGACTCATTTCAGGCTGGTACAGAGAAAGTGTAAGATGAGCCTGGAACTTTCTGTTATACTGAAAATCAAGGAAATGCTTTAAGAACAAAGGAGCCATGTCAAAAGAACACAGAATCCAGCTTGAACAAATCTAGAACAAAACAAACCATAGTGGGCCTCCCTGGTGGCTCAGGGATTAAAGTCTCAGTGCTATCAACCTCTGCAGCATGAGTTCCCAGCCAGAGAGCTAACCCACATGGCACAGCAGACCTCTCCTGTCTCGCCAGTTGTTCCCCTCACCAGTGTATTTCAGTTAATCTGCCTGTTCTGCTCCCCACTCTGTCTCTGGTGAATCCTCTAACCCCCACACCTCTGGCCTATACCCCAGTTCCTGAATGTATAAATACAAATAAATCTTAAAACAAACAAAAAACCATGATTATGGATTACAAATAATAGAATAGAAAAATGAGCTCATATTGATGAAATCATTAGGTGACTAATTTTTTTAAAAGGATTTATTTATGCACACAAGAACTGGGGTACAGGCCAGAGGTGTGGAGGATGAGAGGTTTCAACAGAGACCGAGTGGGGAACAGAACAGGCGGATTGACTGAAGTACACTGTTGAGGGGAGCAGCGGGCAAGGCAGGAGAGGTCTGCTGCACCATGTGGATAGCTCCCTGGCCTGCTGGGGATCACACTCGTGCTGCAATGGCTGCAGATAGCTTCATAGGTTGCGTATTAACCCCCAGCGCCACCAGGGAGGCCCCTCATTGAATAAATTAACTAAAAATTTAATGAGCAGGAATGTATAAGGAATACAGTGTTGACCTGACAGGGATCCATAGCTCATTTCTGTTATATTCCTGCCAAAGATGTATGACCTGAATTTAATAATGCAACGTTATTAGATGTGGTGGCCAGCCTCCAAGATGATTTCCAATGATCTGTACCTCCTGTATTCTCACTGTTGGGTAACCTCGTCCTAGATTATACCAGGGTTGATCTTTGTGACCTGTAGAATACAGTAACATCGGTGCTATAGTATTTCCAAGATAAGGTTATAAAAGATGGTGATTTCTTTCTTGAGTTGTCTTGGTCACTTACTCTTGGGAAAACCATGTTATGAGCTGCCCCCTAGGTAGAGACCAACATTTCTTCATAGGCAGACTTCAAGAAGTGGAAGTCTCCTGCTAAAAGTCATGTGAGTGAACTTGGAAGCAAATTCTCCAACTCAAATTAAAGCACATCCTGCCAAATAACTGTCCTATAATCTTCAAAAAGTGTCAAGGCCATAGAAAGCAAGACACAGCTGAAGAGCTCTTTCAGGCAGGAGACTGAAGCCCAACATCTGTGCTAAACTAGATTTTTCCATTAAAACATTATTGGGGGGCCTCCCCTGGTGGTGCAGGGCAGTTGCGCGCCGCACTGTGAAGCTGTCTGCAGCCTCTGCAGTGCCAGTTCGATCCTAGCCGGCCCACAAGGAACCCACATGGCGCAGCAGACCTCTCCTGTCGCGCCTGCTGCTCCCCTCAGCAGTGTATTTTGTCAGTCTGCCTGTTCTGTTCCCTGCTCTGTTTCTGGTGAATCCTCTCACCCTCCCGCGCATCTGGCCTGTACCCTGGTTCTTGTATAAATAAATAATCTTTTTTTAAAAAAATAAATAAAACATTATTTGGGGAGGGCCTCCCTGGTGGCTCAAGGGGTTAAGCACCGCACTATGAAGCAATCCGCAGCCTCTGCAGCACAAATTTGATCCCCGGCCAGCCAGGGGTAACCCACATGGCGAGGCAGACCTCTCCTGTCTCTCCCGCTGCTCCCCTCAGCAGTGTATTTCAGTCAGTCTGCCTGTTCTGTTCCCCACTTTGTCTCTGGTGAATCCTCTCATCCCCCGCATCTCTGACCTGTACCCCAGCTCTTGTATGTATAAATAAATAAATATTTTTTAAAAAAATTATTGGGGGCCTCGGTGGTGGTGCAGCGGGTTGAGCACAGCGCTGTGAAGCTGTCCGCAGCCTCTGCAGTGCGGTTTCGATTCCCAGCCAGCCAGGGAGATTCCCAAATGTCACGGCAGACCTCTCCTGTTGTGGCAGACCTCTTCTATCGCGCCCACTGCTCCCCTCAGCAGTGCTTTCAGTCTGTCTGCCTGTTCTGCCCCCGACTCTGTCTCTGGTGAGTCCTAGCACTGTCCCGCACCTCTGGCCTGTACCCCAGCTATTGTATAAACAGAAAAAATAAAATCATAAAAAAAAAACCATTATCGGACACTTGAAACTTATACGGGGTCTGAAGGAATATTTCAACATTAATTTCTTTTTTTTTTTTTTTATAGAGGCATGTTTTTATTTTTTTATTTATTTATTATTTATTTGTTTGTTTGTTTTTTGTTTATACATGCACTGGGTACAGTCAGAAGCATGGGAGGGTGAGAGAATTCACCAGAGCCAGAGCGGGGAGCAGAGCAGGCAGAAGGACCGAAGTACACTGCTGAGGGGAGCAGCGGGCGGCAGGAGAGGTCTGCTCGCCATGTGGGACCCTCCTCCGGTGGCCGGGGAGCAGCCGGGGATCGAACCGGCGCCGCAGAGGCCGCGGGCAGCTTCGCAACCCAGCACTCAACCGCTGCGCCACCGGGGAGGCCCTTAACATTAATTTCTTGATTATGATGGTTTCATTGTTATAGAGAATGCCCCCTAGTTTATAGAAAAGCAGTAAATTATTCCAGGTTGACTAGCTTCAGGCTCGAAACTTAGAAATGGTTAAAGGGGTGGTGAGAGGGGATAGTTCACAAGTGATTCAGAAAAAATTCTTTGAGCTCTACATATAATTTTTCTGTAAGGCTACAATTGGTTCAAAATGTTGTGCTTGTTATCTATATAGCTGTGCATGGATTTCTACTGCATTAATACCTACAGATGGAATTGCTGAACATAGGGTATATCTCTTTGAACTATGGTAATTTTTATTTCAAAATGATTGTTCCAGTTTGTATTCATACCAGCCGTGAACGAGTTTTCCTCTTGCTATAGATTGCTGCTAACATTTGCTATTGCCAGTTTTTAATTTTAGTCTATCTAGTGGGTGTCTAGTGTTATCTTTTTTTTTTTTTAAGATTTATTTATTTATACATACAAGAGGGGTATAGACCAGAGGTGTGGGGGGTGAGAGGATTCACCAGAGACAGAGTGGGGAACAGAACAGGCAAATTGACCAAAGTACTGAGGGGAGCAGCAGGCGAAATAGGAGAGGTCTGCTGCCCCATGTGGGTAGCTCCCTGGCCGGCCAGGGATCGCACTCGTGCTGCAGTGGCTGCAGATAGCTTCATAGGTTGCATCTTAACCCCTTGAGCCACCAGGGAGGCCCCATCTAGTGTTATTTTGAATTCATTTCTGTACAGCTCCAAGGTCCATGTTCTTAAGCACTCAATGTACTGCCTTGTCATTCAATATAACAATTTAAGGTATATAATTAAGCGTATTTTTAGTAAACATAATTTCATGCTTTGTATTGTTTATGCTTTTCAGGGCAGAAAATTTCAAATCAAAACTCTAATACCTTTTTTTTTTTTTTGCTCTGTAGTGAAGCAAATAAACAAAACGTAAGATGTCAGAAATGCTTGGAATTTGGACATTGGACTTATGAATGCACAGGAAAAAGAAAATACCTACATAGGCCTTCAAGAACAGCAGAACTAAAGAAAGCCTTAAAAGAGAAAGAAAACAGATTACTATTACAACAAAGGTAAGTTTTCACGTGTGACATGCAAAGTATATTTTTTATCTACATTTATAAACTTTATTATTAAGGAGCTAAACGTCTTGTGATGGTTATCCCAATTGAGACTATAATAGTAGGGAATGTTTAAACATTATTACTGTGTGCCAAGCACCGTACTAAACTCTTTACAGCTATTAGGTTACTTAAGCAGCATATCTGTACCATTAAAGTAGGTACCATTGTTATCTCCACTTCACATATGAAGAAACTGAGGAATGGAGAAGTTCAGAAAATTGCTGAGTATCACTTAGCTAGTAAATAGAAAAATCGTGTGTTCAACCAACCAACCTATCTTCACAGTTCATGCTCTTAATCATTTTGTTTTATTGCCTTGATTGCCAATGAAATGACAGCAGAATACTATGAGGTAGATTATATGAATAGATATGGGAAGCTAGCTAACATAAGCATCCAAGATACTTACATTAAGTATATATAGGAGGGTAGAGAATAGTATATGCATTGTGCTATCATTTATATTTAAAAATAAGAAACGGGGGCCTCCCTGGTAGCACAACGGGTTGAGCACAGCGCTGTGAAGCTGTCCACAGCCTCTGCAGCGCGGGTTCAATTCCCAGCCAGCCAGGGAGATTCCCACATGGCACGGCAGACCTCTCCTGTCTCGCCCACTGTTCCCCTCAGCAGTGTATTTCTGTCAATCTGCCTTTTCTGTTCCCCACTCTGTCTCTGGTGAATCTTCTCACCCCTCACACCTCTGGCTTGTACCCCAACTCTTGTATGCATAAATAAATAAATCTTAAAAAAAAAAAAAAAAAAAGAATGTCACTATCCACAGTCACTGTAGCATAAGTTCAATCCCCGGCCAGGAAGCAAACCATCACGGCACAGCAGACCTCTCCTGTCTTGCCCACTGCTCCCCTCAGCACTGTACTTCAGTCAGTCTCCCTTTTCTGTTCTCTACTCTGTCTCCGGTGAATCCTCTCATCCCACCTCCCCCCGCACCTCTGGCCTATACCCCAGTTCCTGTATGCATAAATATGCATAAATAAATCAATCTTAAAAAAAAAGAATGTCAGGCCTCCCTGGTGGCGCAGCAGTTGAGCCCTGGGCTTCAAAGGTGCCTGCTGCTCCCCTCAGCAGTGTACTTCGTCACTCTGCCTGTTCTGCTGTCCACTCTGGCTCTGGTGAATTCTCTCACCCTCCTGCACTTCTGACTGTACCCAGTGCTTGTATAAATAAATAAATAAATAAATCTTTAAAAAAAAAAAAAAAAAGTCATTCCAACATTTACTTTTATTTCTTCATTTTTATTATACAAGTATCTTGATTACAGAAATACATAAAACTACATGAATTAAGATAGGGTTCTATTACATAAAGACTACTGATTTTTGGTTCAGTGATAAAATGATGGCAGTGTGTGAATTTCAGTAGTCGTGAGTTCTTGTGGTATAATTTAATAAATATTTCTGCTTTTTTTTAAAGATTTATTTACTTATGCATACAAGAACTGGGGTACAGGCCAGAGGTGTGGAGGGTGAGAGGATTCACCAGAGACAGAGCGAGGAACAGAATAGGCAGATTGATCGAAATACACTGCTGTATTTTGAAATACACTGCTGAGGGGAGCAGTGGGCGAGTCAGGAGAGGTCTGCTGCGCCATGTGGGTTGCTCCCTGGCTGGGGATTGAATTTGTGCTGCAATGGCTACGGATAGTTTCATAGGTTGTGTCTTAACCCCTTGCGCCACTAGGGAGGCCCCTATTTCTGCTTATTGTACAATGTCGTAAAATGACAAATAAGTGACTCTTTACATATTTATATCTAGGAAACAGGGGTCGAAGCATTTTCTAGAAAATATAGAGCAGTTCAGACTATAGAAATGATAAATTTACAGGCCAGTACTATACTAATAGAAGTAATTCTATAATTTAAAACTTGATTTAGTGTGCTTGTTTGGCAGAAATATAGCAGCAAGCCATCTGTATATTTCATTAAAAAATTGCCAGACTCTTCTTTATAAATAGTGTCAGGGAGCACAGTTTGAAATATTAAGTCTGTGGTCTGTAATCAGGACCTAACAATATTTTAGGGACGTGCAGAAAAAGAATGGGTATTTTAAATTAAAAGGCTGCTTTTCTTTTAATATGATATGGTCATTTATAATATGACTCTGGAAATCTAAATTACAAGTTACAGCTGTTGTTATGCTTTTATTTGTTTTGTTCTGTTGTTCAGTAAGTGGTGGCTTAGTCTTGTCATCTCAAGTTCATAACTAAAAAAGAATCAAATTGCTACACAGCTTATCCAGCTTCTAAGGTACAGATGATGAAATCTATCTTGCTTAAGTGTTCGTTCATTGCGTATACCATATGTAGCTTACAACAGGAAACTCTTCTTTTGGTTACCCCATGGAATACCAGGCTCTGGACACATGTTATAAAAGACAAAGTGTTATCCAATGTAAGAGTGTAGGGGATAGCAGAATGGGGTTGTCTGAGCTTTGTGAAATCACTCTACTAATAGGACCTTTTTCTCCCCACACCCCATTTTGTATTTATCAGCATTGGAGAAACTAATGTAGAGAAAAAGACCAAGAAAAAAAGGTATGTGTGGCTTTAGGAGTATTATATAGATAATGTATAATACTAGTTAGAGGGTTGTGAAGAGTGATTTTAAAATAATAATTATAAGATCTGAAAATGAAGTCTTTTATTTATAATTCATTCTATTCTGATATGTTCCTCTCTCTACTTGTCTGGAATTTATAGCCTTCACTTCTTTTTTCTCCAATTTTCCAGAGTCCTTCCTTAGAATTAATAAATAATTTCTCTTGGCAGAATAGGAAATTTATTGCTAAGAAATTACTGATCAGGGCCTCCCTGGTGGCTCAGTGGGTTGAGCACCGTGCTGTGAAGTTGTCTGTGGCCTCTGCAGTGCGGATTCAATTCCTGGCTGGCCAGGGAGAAACCCACATGGCACAACAAATCTCTCCTGTTGCGCCCACTGCTCCCCTCAGCAGTGTCTTCGGTCCGTCTGCCTTTTCTGCTCCCTGCTCTGTCTCTGGCGAATTCTCTCACCCTCCCGCATCTCTGACTGTACCCAGTTCTTGTATGAATAAATAAATCTTTTTTAAAAATTCTATGTATAAAAAAATAAATTACTGATCAGCTTTATCTGGTCTAAAGTAGTTATGATTGTGAAATGCTTACCACTCTATATCATGTTTTTTTTTTTTAATTTTTCTTTTTTTAAGATTTATTTATTTATTTATACAAGCACTGGTTATAGTCAGAGGCTCGGGAGGGTGAGAGAATTCACCAGAGTCAGAGAGGGGAGCAGAACAGGCAGAGTGATGAAGTACACTGCTGAGGGGAGCAGCGGACGCAGCAGGAGAGATGTCGCACCATGTGGGACCCTCGCCGACTGGCTGGGGATCGAACTGGCACTGCAGAGGCTGCGGGCAGCTTCACAGCCCAGCACTCAACCGCTGTGCCACCAGGGGAGGCCCCACTCTATATCATGTTTAAATAAACCCAGTTGTTACACTGCAGTTTTATTCTAACTTTATTCACTCAAACATAACATAGTGGATATACTTACCTTAAACTCCATCCAAGAGAGTTAAATTACTAAAGTAAAAGACCTTGTTGAAGTAGTGGGAGGAGCACTTTGGGATTACTGTAGTTAGGCCATCTCCAGACCATAGCATGCTGGCAGAGCTTCAGTATATACATGTACATGTCATTCATTTGAAGTTGCTTTTAAATTTTTTATTAAATGTCAGCTTCCCATGCATCTAACGGTCAACTGTCCAATAGGTCTAAGAGTGTCACCAGTTCTAGTAGCAATAGCAGTGACAGTTCGGCCAGCGACTCTTCATCAGAGAGTGAAGAATCATCTACCTCATCCTCCTCAGAGGACAGTGACACTGACGAAAGCTCCTCCAGCTCATCATCTTCAACCTCTTCCACAAGCTCTTCTTCCTCCTCTGATTCCGACTCAGATTCCAGCTCTTCCAGTAGCAGCAGCTCTAGCACAGATAGCAGCTCTGAGGAAGAGCCACCAAAGAAAAAGAAAAAGAAATAGAATTGCTTCATTTATCTTGGACTGATGGACTACAAACATTAATGTGATTCTCAAAAGAGAATCAAGAAAATGTTAAAGCCAAATAGATTCATTGGTCAAAATTTGTAGAGTTTAAAAAATTCTAAGTGTTCTACATTGTCAGAGCAAAAAGAGTATTAAATGTGAATTTTATATATATATATATATATATATATAAATAGACACACACACACTTTTTTATTTTAAGGGTGAATTTTGTTTTTCTTTTTTATCTTTAAAATGTCTCTAGGGTTTAATCAGAGCTTAAATATAGTATTTCTGTCTTTGTGATGAAACATGTTCTTTTTTCTCCTGTGAAATAAATGCCATACTTTGTTATATGTTAATGGTATATAATCAGATATGCTTTCAGGATAATGCATCAGACTATCTGGCAATGAATTTGTAATGATTTTGGTCTAATGTTACTATGTAAGACTTAATACATTGTTACTGTAAGCTTAGGTGTTTTCCTACTGTTAATAAATGTGCTCTATTTTTATGTTTATATTCAGAAATTATTCTGATTTCTTTTCTTAATGCAGAGTTCAAGGAACCCACTAATATACCTTTTGGATGATACGAGCTTCAAGTTGCTGTGTTGTATCATTCATTTTCCTCCTGTTCTTGAGTTACCCTTTTCAGGAAAATCATTCTGGAGGTACATGAAAAGGAACAGAAATCTAAAACTACTTAGGAGACTAATCTTGGTGCCTTTGATAAATTCAGTGTATCAGAAGAGAAACAGTTCTGTAAAAAGATAACATAAGTAAAGTGATGTAAATGTCTTTGTATATTAATATGCTGTGAAAGGTGTCATTCAATAGAAAAAAGGAAATAGGAAGAGGTAATTTTATAGAAAATTAGAGCAATGTCAGATGCCTTTCATTAAGATTTTTTAAAACTTTCTAAAGATTGCCTTTTGCCATTTTTGCAATTATGGTATGACAGTTTATATGGTAACTGGTCAAATATGACAGTCTACTGCAAAATATGAATTATTTGGGTTAATATGGTATGTTGTCAAAGTATATATACAGCCGGAATCAGCATGAAAAGTTAAAAAAGATATACTGCACAATTATTTCTTTAAAGTGCTCTGTTGTGGTGAGATTATTTGGCTTAACATCAAATTCTGTGATGTCTTAAAGCTTTTTGGAAAGGTATCATTTGTAGAAAAATCTTGACTTGGATTAAATATAGGTTTTTAAAACTGAATGTTGTATTTTTAAAAATATTTATTTATTTATGTATACAAGGTGTGTGTATGGGGAGGGGGAGGTAACAGGATTCACCAGAGATAGAGGCGGGAACAGAACAGGCAGATTGACTGAAATACACTGCTGAGGTGAGCTTAAAGCCAGACAGGAGAGGTCTGCTGTGCCATGTGGGTTAGCTCCCTGGCTGGGATCCAACTCATGCTGCAGTGGCTAGTGATAGCCTGATAGCGCTGGGACTTTTTTTTTTTTTAATACAAGAACCGGGGTACAGGCCAGATTCGCAGGTAGGTGAGAGAATTCACTGGAGACAGAGCAGGGAGCAGAACTAGCAGACTGAAGAAATACACTGCTGAGGGGAGCAGCAGGTGAGACAGGAGAGGTCTGCTTCACCATGTGGGACCCTCACCAGCGGGCCGGGATAGAACAGGGCGTTGCAGAGGCTGCGGACAGCATCATAGCGCTGTGCTCAACCGCCTGCGCCACCAGGGGAGTCCCAAGAGACTTTTTTAAGATTTATATATTCATGCATACAAGAATCAGGGTACAGGCCAGATGTGTGGGAGGGTGAGAGGACTCACCAGAGATAGAGTGGGGAACAGAACAGGCAGACTGACTGAAATACACTGCTGAGGGGAGCAGCGGGGGAGACAGGAGAGGTCTGCTGCACCATGTGGGTATCTCCCCGGCTGGCTGGTATCAAACCCACGCTGCAGAGATTGTGGACAGCTTCACCAGCTTCACAGCGCTGCCCTCAACCGCCTTCACCACCAGGGAGTCCTGCACTGAGACTTTAACCCCTGCCCACCAGGGATGCTCCTGAATGTTGTATTTTTTAATATTTTTATGAGAAAGTAGTGGAAACTTACTTTTGAAGAAAATGGGCTTCTATTTAAATATTGAAGTATGTAGTTATGAGTTTAAGGAGCCTGTAATTACCTGTATTACAGAACCATCTGCTTTCATAACTAAACTTTCAACAGATGTTTCAAAAACTCCATATAGACAACAGTTGACAAGTAAATTTAATAAATTATTTTTTTTTTTTATAGAGGCATGTTTTATTTATTTATTTGTTTGTTTGTTTGTTTATACATGCACTGGGTACAGTCAGAAGCGCGGGAGGGTGAGAGAATTCACCAGAGCCAGAGCGGGGAGCAGAGCAGGCAGAAGGACCGAAGTACACTGCTGAGGGGAGCAGCGGGCGGCAGGAGATTCTGCGCGCCATGCGGGACCCGCCTCCGGTGGCCGGGGAGCAGCCGGGGATTGAACCAGCGCTGCAGAGGCTGCGGGCAGCTTCGCAACCCAGCGCTCAACCGCTGCGCCACAGGGGAGGCCCTAATAAATTATTAATTCAACACATATTACAATATTCATAGCTGAGCAGGTAACCTGAAGGAGAAAAAAATGGGTATGCAGGTTGCATCACTTGCAATTAAATAAATTTCACAGTTTGTGCTCATTTTGTTATCTTAAGTTTCCATTATCTTTGTTAGCTTAATTCCAGTTCTTACTCCTTTTGAACATTTAAACAAATTCTAATTCCAAATGTTTGCTGTTACAACTATTAAAAGATGTGCCTGAAGAAGTACAGAGGGCAGAAACTACATTGTTCTCTAGTCACACATCACTTAAAAAAGCAGAACCAATGGCAAAATAGAGACCAACTTCCAGAGTTTCTCCCCATCTTGTCTGTAAGTAGTACCCAGGAACTTGAGTCCCTGGCAAATGTAAATGCATTATTTCTCAACCACAATCATAGCAAAAATTATAGGTTTTCATTCCAAAAATATTTCATTAGTATGACTGTACAATGTAATTTTATCCTGGAATCAAAATATAGCATCAGACCACAAGTTAGCATTGGAGATGGAAAAATGTGCAGAGGAGGTATAATTCCTGGTTTTATTTATTCTTTTAACTATTTGGAACTGATTGTAGATTTATAGAACAGTTGTAAAAATAGTATAGTTTCCATATATACCTCTCCCATTTTCCCCTAGTGTTAATATGTTATATAACTATAGTATGTGATCAGAACCAAGAAATTAATTGTGTAAAACATTTAAAACAACTTTACTCTTCTTTGTCTTCTTCACCAGTTTTTCCACTAATGTTCTTTTCTGTTTTATAATACTACCTTGAAAATGCACTCAGTTACTTCAACTCTTCTAGTCTCTAACAATTCTTCAGTCTTTCCTTGTCTTTCATACCCTTAACGTTTTTAATAGTATTTAAACATTTAAACATTATTTAAACATTTATTTTATTTATTTATGCATACAAGAGCTGGGGTACAGGCCAGAAATGCAGGGTGTGAGAGGATTCACCAGAGACATAGCGGGGAAGGAGAACAGACAGAGTGACTGAAATACACTGCTGAGGGGAGCAGTGGGTGAATCAGGAGAAGTCTGCTGCACCATGTCGGTAGCTCCCTGGCTGGCTGGGGATCGAACTTGTGCTGCAGTGTCCGTGGACAGCTTCACAGTTTGCGTCCCAACCCTTTGCACCACCAGGAAGGCCCAGATCTTGGATTTTAAACACCAATCTCCAATAAAAACCAGGGTAGGCCTCTTAGAGAAATGGTTTGCTCTAAAGCTGGAGTAGGGATACTGTTAAGTTGAAACATGGAGCATCTCGTGATCCCAGAAAGCAAGGAATTTTCTTTTTTCACATTATGAGAGTTTGTTGAAAGGACAGAGAAGACAACCTGAAGAAGCTCCCCTAATAGCCAAAGGTAGAACAATTTTAGCATCTATAAGAATGGTATTGATTTTAATCTACTGAAAAAAACAAATATCCATGAGTTCATACTATAAATAATTAATTAGGGGAGAAGTGACAGCTCTTCCTTACAGAATTCCCATTAATAAAAGAAGGGGAAAGTAGAAAATTGTCATTTGGAAAACATCACAGGAATAACGGTCACAGACAAGTTCTACTAAAATTAGAGGGTGAATATGAAGAGAAACAATCTGCTGTCTCAAGGTATCTCCTCAAGATATTAACTAAAAAAGGAAAGACAGCAACTTCATAATGGAGAAATGTGGCAGAAACCACCTTCACCAAGTAATTAAGGTCAATATCACCTGTAATAAGGAAGATAATTGACATGAGGAATCCTGTCTGTGACAAGAGGAACGAAGGATACAACTTTGTTTGTGTGATAGTCTTCAAAAAATCATAACCTCAATTCAACCATGAGAAAACACCAGAAACTCAGACTGAGGGACATTCAACAAAACTGATCGATGCTATTAAAAAATGCTATTAAAGAGCATCACTGGTGACACAATGGGTTAAGTCTCAGTACAAAGAAGCTATCAGTAGCCACTGTAGCATGAGTTTGATCCCCAGCCAGGGAGCTACCCACATGGCGCAGCAGACCTCTCCTGTCTCGCCTGCTGCTCCCCTCAGCAGAGTGCTTTGGTCAGTCTGCCTGTTCTGCTCCCCACTCTGTCTCTGGTGAATCCTCTCACCCCCCCACACCTCTGGCCTGTACCCCAGCTCTTGTATCCATAAACAGATCTTAAAATAAAAATTCAAGATCTGAGTGTTGGCTTAGTATGTGTTTTACACATCTTGAATGGCAGTGTTCTACATTAGATAAGGTATAGTATCTTGCCATTAGCTGCAAAACATACAGTACCTTCAACACATCTCTTAGTTTTATTTATTTATTTTTTTTTACTTTCACAGGGTTCTTCCTTAAGAGCAATTCTTTCTTTGACAATAAATAGAAGAGGTATAGTCTTTAATTAAAAATTGTTATGGACCTAGGCCTCCCTGGTGGCGCAAGGGGTTAAGACACAACCTATGAAGCTATCTGCAGTCACTGCAGCACAAGTTCGATCCCCAGCCAGGGAGCTACTCACATGGTGCAGCAGACCTCTCCTGTATTGCCTGCTGCTCCCCTCAGCAGTGTATTTCAGTAGATCTGCCTGTTCTGCTCCCTTCTCTGTCTCTGGTGAATCCTCTCACACACTCACACCCCCCTCCCATCTCTGGCCTGTCCCCCAGTTCTTGTATGCATAAATAGATCTTCAAAAAAAATTATTACTGGTGGCCTCCCTGGTGGCGCAGGGAGTTAAGCGTAAGCACTATGAAGCAATCTGCAACTACTGCAGCATGAGTTCGATCCCAGGCCAGGGAGGTGACCCACATGGCACATCAGACCTCTCCTGTCTCACCCGCTGCTCCCCTCAGCCGTGAATTTCAATCTGCCTGTTCTTCTCCCCACTCTGTCTCTGGTAAATCCTCTCACCCCTGCACCTCTGTCCTGCACCGCAGCTCTTATATGCATCAATAAATAAATCTTTAAAAAAGCATATCTAAATTCAGAAGTAGACTAAATATTCATTTTCTAACACCAGGCTGTGCTCTTGACAGAAAAATAAGTATAGGTATGGATATATTATAGATGTAGATTATATATAGATACATAATCTCTAGACATTATATTATGGGGCCTTTATTGAAATAATTTGACCCAAAGAAATATTTCAAATTATATTTTTGCATGCTGCACTGCAGAATTTTGTACCCTGGAAAAACTGTACCATAAAAAGGTTTTGATGTGTGTGTATAAAGTTGAAGAAAAACTAATGAAAGAGGGAGAGAGAAATGAAAATCTATAGATTTTCATTTGGACTTCACTTGGACTGCAAGCATTGTCAGGTGATTTTTAGAAGGTACAGTCGGGAGTTGAGAACCTAGAAACGGCCAGTATTCTCAAAAAGTCTTTTGTGTACCCCAAGGGTACTTGTGTGTGCCAGCCATGGTATTTGGTAATATGAGCCACAAACATTAGTAGAACTCTATTTGGAAGGTACTATACAACAAAGTATAAGGAACATTCTGGCAATGGTTTCCTTTGAGTTTATTATCTAGTTGGGAAGACCATACATACACAAAGTGATAAAGATCAATGAAAAGAGGACTTTGAGAGACCTCCCTGGTGGCACAAGGAGTTACATCTCAGCAATATCAAGCTATGGACAGCCACTGCAGCATGAGTTCTATCCCCAGCCAGGGAGATAACCCACATGGTGCAGCAGACCTCTCCTGCCTCACTCGCTGCTCCTCTCAGTGCATTTCAGCTCCCCTCAGTGTATTTCAGTAGATCCATGTGCTCTGCTCCCCACCCTGTCTCTGGTGAATTCTCTCATCCCCTGCACCTTTGGCCTGTACCCCAGTTCTTGTATGCATAAATGAATAAAAATAAATTAAAAAAAGAGGACTTTGAGTTAAACAGCAGTAGAATCCATGAGTTTATTGACCTTCCTACTGAAGTGTTACTGAAATGGTGGAAAAAAATGAAAACAAAATCCTGTAAGGCAAAGACAAAAAGAGAGGAAATGAAATATGAGAAATGACAGCATATCTGGAAGCTGGAAAGTTGATGGAACAGTGGGTGCTGACTTAAATAACCAAACACAAGGCCCAAACCTCGGCTACTGTGAGAAAAAGTCAACAGGAAGCCAGGTGATTTATACCACAGAATGCTGAAGAGTTTCCAAACTTGATGACACCATATGCTTGTCAGCCAAGGTGCAGGGAGAGTTTGAGGATTGAAGCAGTTGTAGAAAGTTTATGGTATGGGGTCCTCTCCAGTGGCGCAGTGGTTAAGCGCTGGGTTGTGAGGCCGTCTGCAGCCTCTGCAGGCCGGTTCAATCCCCTGCCACCAGGTGAGGGTCCCACATGGCACGCAGACCTCTCCTGCCGCCCTCTGCTCCCCTCAGCAGTGTACTTCATCACTCTGCCTTTTCTGCTCTCCGCTCTGGCTCTGGTGAATTCTCTCACCCTCCCGTGCCTCTGACTGTACCCAGTGCTTGTATAAATAAATAAATAAATCTTAAAAAAAAAAAAAAAGAAAGTTTATGGTAAGATGCTGTGGTTATGTGTATTCCACTCCTAATCATATTGCCTTAGTTCATTCCTTTAAAAAAATACATTTATTGGGCCTCCCTGGTGGCGCAGCGGTTGAGCGTTGGGTTGCGAAGCTGCCCGCGGCCT